TGACGCTGGCGAAGACGGACGATTTCTGTGACCACCATTACGATGCGGGGAATTCCGGGCCCGATGTCGTGTATGACGCTGCCTTTGTGACCGTGAAGGAGAGTAATGGCTAGAGTGTTCCCTATCTCGCCCGCTTGTTCGTTCCTGGCGTCGATGTCTTCTATCCCGAGACTTTGAGCGAGCGCGTGGCTCTCGGCGTCTGGGCACTGAAGCATCTGTTTCGTGTGGGCGGCCATGTCGAAATTCCTTAACTCGGCCTGCACCCACCCATACGCGGTCGAGTTCTTTCTGAACTTTGAGCCAAGCGTTAGTCCATCTCTCTTTACCCAATTTGATCGTATCTTCGAGCTTCTGGCGCTGACGTTGGTTGCCTTTCAGCGCCTTTTGCACCTGCTCTTGTTCCTCAAAAAGCTCTCTAAGAAGGTCTCTTTGCTCGCGTGTTGCCTTTCCATTCCTCCTCACTTCCTCTTTTGTGACCTCAATGAAATGCTCCAGCTCTTTGTTCCAGGACTGCATTCTTGTTTCATTCTGGGAACAAAGCTTTTCTCCCTCATCAATCTGATCAGGAAGAGCCCAGTATGCGTGAGTAATGCACAAGGCCTTGTGTATATTGTCTGCTAGCGATTCAGAAAGCAACAAAGCCGTACCATGCTTTCGGCTATCGCGGAAATCTACAAGCTCTGCTGGCCCATCGATTAATCGCAACTGTTCCTTGCCAGGTACTGTCCATCTGTCATAGATCCGTTCTCGTTGATTGGTGAAGTAACTAGGATCATATTTGGACCAGAAGATATCGTCCATGTTGGGGATTTGGATGTTTGATGATGGCGATGATGGCATGATGGCAGTGAGCAAGATGATATAGACCTGAACAAAGGAAGTTTATAGCGCCACATATAGCAGTTCATGAAACGTAGTATGAGTACAATAAAGAGATATACTTCTTTCATTAAGACCATTCAGGCTTGGTAGTCCTCGACACTTGGCATTACTATCAACGAGTTCACATGACGTTCACAGATGCTTGATGCGAATCAATGAGGCCGTGCCTCGGCGGCCAACCTACTGCAGGGCCAACGTAATTGCCTCCATAATTCACTGAGGGCAGGGCAGGCCTAAGGCCTGCCTCTATTTCATCAGAGCCTCCTATGGAATTACGATCGTTACCGCCCCATTGGCACAACCAACTCAACCAGACCGGACATTTCTTGATCCCAAGTGCGTACACGAGAGGGGTCAACTCTCATCATGCCTAGAACGAATCGACTGGCAGACGCGCCCGCAAGCGACTACCACCCGTATCAAACGCGCTCTGATCACGGCTCTGATCCAGGGGACGATCAACATAACGACGGTGTGCCAGCCCCTAGGCATGACAACGATCGCGACAGGAACCAATACCGTCGAGGTCGCTCCAGGAATAATGGTAGGCTATACGAACATGACGATCCAGACAAGTCCCCTCGTCGGAGTCGCTCGCCTCAACGATCACCCCTTCGAGATCAACGTCGAAATCATCGTAGCCGATCTCGCAGTGAGCACCAAGAACGAAGTCACAGGTCTCGTAGTCGACGCCCAAGGCACAGAAATCATAGCCGGGGACGAGAACATACGGATAGATCTCGTGGTCGACGGCGGGACATAAGGCATAGATATCATAGTCGACGACGAGAACGTACGGAAACATCTCGTAGGCGACATGAAGACTATGATAGAAGGGATTATCGAGCCCCCAGCCTTGAGCGTGGCCGAGAGCGAGAAAGGCGCGAGGAACCATCTCGCTCTCCCCATCATGAGCCCTCGTGGAGACGGCGACATCGAAAACGATCTCCCAGTACCGGCTTTACCATCTATGACAACCGGGCAATGAAAAGGCACTGGTTCAACTCCGGGTACGGAGAAATTCCAGAGAAGCCATACGACGACTTGACCAAGCACTTTTACACTTCCGATATGGTTTCGATCCGATTCTGCGACTTCTCTTCTGACGATCAAGCGATAATTGGACAAAAGTTTACACCGTCTTCGCAAGGCATGATCAACGTCAAAGAAGATGTGCCTTTCATCATCAAACGAGTAGAGCCCGGCTATTTCCTTGGTTGGGCTGCTCACACCAGCGGTGGCCGCGGGTTAAAAGAAACGCCTTCGATACCGAAGTCGGAGTACGCGAAGTACATGGGGATCGCTACTGAAGGCCATTCGAATGGATCTCTCGGGAATGACAGTCCGCACAGCCTACTCGAAGTGAGGCCATTGACGCAATCAAGAAATCTCAAGCCGAAGACCCATGTCTTCGCGGGCGAGTTGATAAAGGTCACTCTCCCACCGAGACCTCATTACTGGGGCCAGCTTGATCCTGAGTATTATTGGCCGTTGCAACTCCTGAGCGATTTCCTCATAGCATCTCCTGGATCTGCTGCCGCGAGGCTCGATTCCATCCCAAGAAACGCTGGATTGGACGTCGATGCGTTAAAACAGCTGCGGACCGCGGACGACTCCCTAGACGCACACATGAAAGCTGGTCTTGCATATCTCGATGCTCTACACAAGCCAAGGCCATCCAATGACGACACGGACGCAGATTCTCGTCCGCCTAGGGCTCAGACAGCACCGAATGGCCGCGATCCACCCCGCACCGGGCGCCCCGTTGCTACAGACGTTCGCCCGACAGCGCCGCAAGATCAGCCTCGACAACCACCAACGAGGACTACGAACGCGCCGAGGGACCCAAGACCCCAACCACCCACAGGGCCGAGGTTAAAGCGCTCGCGCGACGGTGATGATCCTTTGGCGCCGAATGTCACCCGTCGACGGCGGAACTATTAGAGCGCTTGGCAGAGTCCTCGAGGCGATGTGGGAGGAGCCGTGGGGGGTATCCGTCTGCACTAGTCTCCAGTTCACAGTGAGCAGCGCATCACGCCAACCTAGGAAAGAACTGAACACCCTAGAGCCTACGTTGACGTTGGGTCACCCACTTTGCAGATTCTTGTCTTGATGTAGTCTGCAGGCCTGTTCAGTTTTTTCCTTGTATGAGGTGGCATTGTGCTCAAGAAACAAAGCGGGGAGGAATGTGCCCAATGAGCAAAACGGGGCGGGCTGATCATCCAAAGAAGGCAAACTCTTTGTAGACAGATGCTCAAGCGATTCGGAGTAAAAAGAAGCGGGCTTTCTTTTGTTGCAAGGCATGGGAGGCGGAAAAGTTCTTTGCTGTTCGCCGCCGTCTTCATCGGTAAAGTTTGATGAGATCAACACTTCATGGACGATGCGGCGCTCTAGACCTAGGGTCGGCTTTGTAATACGTCTCGATTAGCCAACACAGTTAATGTGTGTATACAAAATGACATTATGTTGTATATGTGTCCATGCGTGAGGATGAAGCGACGGTGGATAGCATTTTGCGTGAGAGGCAATAGCTTGCCGAAAAGGAGTTGAGTGCTTGCCGTAGAGAAGAGAGCAAGCATCAAGCTGCAAGCAATCTGATAGACATGGGATGGAAGCTGCGAGCCATCAAATGAGGCGAGGTAGCGAAGGTTAAAGGTGGAAGGGTGCCCAAGCGACGATGCAGCTCCTTGCCCGCCAAGACCCCCGGAGATTGCCGGCGCCGATCATCACAACTCAAGGAAGCATCGCTCGTGAACTTCGACAACTGCGCCAGCTTCTCCTCTACGGGCCGTACAGCATGCCCCGTGTAGTCGCTCGTCACCTTCCCGTCGCTTCCGTTTAGACTATAGACTTCCGTTCACACTAGTGCGTCTACAGCTCCACCGCTTCCGCCAGCCACAGTCGCGCGCATTCGATGGGTATTTGCTCGTCATGCCTGGGAGGGCGAAGGACTTCTGAGTCTGATGTAAGTCCTTATGGATAGGATATTGAGCTATACAAGTACTGACGCTCCTTCACAGAACTCGGACGCCTCGCATCTGCTCGGAGACCAGTACCAGCCCAACTATGGAACCGCCAGCAGCACCCACAACGCGCCCCAGCCAGACCCAGAGGAGCTTCGACGTCAGCGAGAGAACCTGGAGCGAATCTGCGCTGAGACGAACGAGTGAGTAGTGCCTTCCTCATCTACGAACGTTCCTTCCTGCACAGGAGTCTGCACCTTCCCACGAAGGCGCCCGTTCCTTCCTGCACAGGAGCCCGTACCTTCTAAATTACAGGCCACAGAGTCCCTTAGACGTTCTCCATCTCCATTACGACATGGCGCTGATCCTATCCAGGCAACTAATCCCCGTCTCCCAACCGAGCGCCCTCCCCGAAGTCACCGAACAGCCCTCCAAAAACGACGAATACGCACATCTCTTCAACGAGCGCTTCAAGTCGATACGAAGCCAGCGCCCGTCGTCCGCCGGTAACGACGATGACGACGAAACAACATGGCTCGAGAATGCCATGGGCAACCAGGGCGAGGATGAGCTGGAGCAGATCAAGCCAGCCAAGGGGAAGCTGACGATTCAGTTCGGTCAGCGGTAGACACCTACACCGAGGGTTTTGAGGACAGCGATATCCTGCGACCCTGTACGGGTTCTCTAGCTGAGGCTATACGTACATTTTCATTGTTTGTCGCATTCTGCATTGCATCAGCGCCTTTACGGATACCCATAATCTTTTCCTTTTGTTATTCCTACGCCTCGAAACGGGGTCGTTTACGTACGTCTTTTAAGTAGCATAATCATGTCTGCATCGAACGTCTTCTCGTTTCCTTTCGTTCATGCGTGTCAAGAGTCGGTCCGGCAATGCCATTATACGAAGCCCGTTCTTCTTCATTACTCATTTGATGCAATTGGTTTCTACATACATGCTCCTACGATAGTACTTCGCTATCCTAGGCGAATGCCAAGCCGGTCAGACGAAGCCAACCAATGCCGACTCGCTACCCATGTGAATGGACTGGTGAAAGTCCCGACAACTCTGTCTATCGCTGAAGATCTATCAAAGCAAGACATGCAAAAGCTATCACCGCTCAGGCCAATGCAACACCATCACCGCCATAACCTACCCTAGACAGCCTTAAACAGCAAGTCAGGAGGACCAGTCGCAGGCTTCTCGTCACTCACACCCAACTCCGCAAGCATACTGCCAGCGCGCTCATCCATCAACTTGGCCAACTCCTCCCGAAACTTCTCGTCGATGAAGTCAAGACGCAACTTCAAGCCCGGCTGCACCATGCGCTGCTTCTCCGGATCGAGCTTTTTGAACGTCTTCTTGCCCCAGACCAACGCGGCGCTCTCCATGGCGTTGAAGAGGGCCTTGTTATCGTCCCCGTCCATGGTCTCGGCGTTGAGATACTTGGTTGCCATCTGCTCTACGAAAGCGCCAACGGTGCATTCGTTGGCAGCCCGGTCAGCCTCGTTCTTCGTTGTGTCAGCTTTCTCGTGGTCGATCACAGCTCTATACTTGTTACTTACGCTCTGCTCAGCCAAGGAAGCCACGGTCTCCTCTCCAGTTGTCTCGCCTGTCTGTTCCAGTCCCATCTTCTCACGGAGATGCTTCTGGATGTACTTGTACGTCTCGCCCTGTGGCCTTGGTACACCACCTCGCTTGATGATATCGGGGATCCTCGAGGCAGGGTTCGACAGGACGGGGTTCTGGCGACTCAACAATGGCTCGTCGTAGGGTCCGATGGCAGCATCGTAGAGGTTTGGATCGCCCTTGTACTCGCCGCCTAGGTAGCCGTTTGACCGACCGCCGCTGCGCACACTGCTGTCGACCGGGTCAGAGTGCGGGGACGGCGGATCCTGATAAGTTGGAGCGGTGGTTGATCGTCGAGTCGCGCGTGTGGCAGGTGGTGTCCGGGTAGCGGTAGCGAGGGCGCTCTCGGCGAAGGTGAGTTCAGTTTTGCGCTTCTTGCTCGGTGTAGGTGAGTGATCGTCTGGCTCGAAGTCGTCTTCGGAAGAAAGTTCGTCGACCTCACTGTCAAGAACGACAGGCTTCTTCCTGATCGAGCGCTTCTTCGCTGACGACTTCTGTGCAGACGCAGTAGTCTCCTTCGGCGCGGGCTCGACTTCTTTCTCCTCTTCCTTGACCTCATCTTCTTTCTTCTCTTCGCTCTCACGTACGGGTGTGCTGCTCGCCACCGGCCTACGCCTCACCGTCCTACCCGCAGGAGTAGTACCAGCGCCAACCCCAGCCGCACCCGGCGTCGCCATATTACCATGAAGAAGACCTTTGTTATTCTTAACCCGCTTCTCGTAGCACGGCTGGCAGACCTGGAACGTACAACCAGGACAACGGCGCATAGTATCCATATTCCGCTGATCGCACTCAGTGCACTTGGCTGTGTGGACAGTCACCCGGCTAAACAGCGTCTCGTCGACAGTGCAGGGCTGGATTGCCGATGATGCTCCTGGAGTGCGGGGCGCGCGTGTGGGGAACGGGCTGCTGGATGAACGTGGGGTGTTGGGGAGGAGGGGGCGGTTACGTCGGCCTGGTGTGGACGGTGCGGGTGAGGGCGCTGGTGCGGGTGTTGTGACAGTTGGAACCTTAGCGCGGTGGCCTGGATCTGGACCTGGTGTCGCTGGAGGATCCATGGCGCCACGTGGTGAGCCTTGCTCTGGTTGCTCTGGTGGGGGTGGGGGTGGGTCGGCTGCTGTGTCGCTCATGTTGTTTAGTCGCCTTGTCCTTGCGGAGAATGAGTCTGCGAAAGATTGGATCGCAGTACTTTGAACTGCTGGTGTGGACGCTGGAAGAAAAGCTGATGGTGAGGGATATATACTTTCGAAGATCTGAGACTGAAAAAGGGTCTCAGTAGTCGCCTGAGACTTTCTCGGTGACTTGCCGCTCGGACCGTTATATCCTGATTCAAATCCGCAAGAGGGGAGGTTGGTTCAGAAAGGGTATTGATCGCAATAGGTGTGGACGGTAGAAAGTAAACGTGAAAAAGACGCCACTTCTGATCAATCTGATAGAAGTTGGTGCTTTACGCTCGGACTAACGCGGGGCACAATGACGCGAGATCCAGGCGCCAGAGTTGTAGAAATCGAACCGGAATGGAATGTCGGATCCGGGGCGAGCGGGTTCAAACGGGGGTGACTGAGGGTTATGGGTGGCGAGATCCGAGGGATCGAGGGGTAAATGTTGCTCGTTCGACAAAGGATTCACTGACTGGGATTGGGACTGTTTGGGGCCTTGGGCGTGACCTTAGGTGTGGCTTTGGGATAGACGGATAGAGACGGGTGGAGAGTGGAATGTATGTACAAGTACAGGTGCAAAGAGCAGAAAGAAGACAACCACCACAACCACCACCAAGCTATATACAATCCTTCCGACGCGCTACGTGAAGAGAAGAATAAGAGATAGCCAGCCGACTCACATACACGACGGAAGCGGACTGCAAAACGAACAACAAGCGGGAGGCGAACGAAGGACCAGTCATTGTTGATTATGTGAAGAGGAAATAGTTCTTTATAGAACGTGTGACATGTCATATCTGTCACAAGTGGTATTGGAGTCATGGAGTGTTGCGTAGCATTCACGTCCAGGGATCGAAGGGAGCTGCGTGCGTTGGTGGTACGGTGGCAGGTGCAGTGGGGAGATGGTGACAAACGGTGGGGATGGGAGTTGGGGCTCGGGTTACTGGATGGGGTAATCGTGGTCGTTGCAAGGCGTAAGCGGGGATGACATTGTTGGTTGTACGTAGTGAGCTCTGGATTTTGCGTCTTTGATCTGTGGGTGGAGTTTTGTGACTTTGCAGTGGTTCGTGGTGCACTTGGATGTCTCGAAGTGATGAGCCATTCACAGCTTCCGCAACCTAACCAATAGGCATATGGGGAAAGATTCCGAATAGTAAGCGTCGCTGCGATGAGATACTGGAGTTTCTTTGGAGTCTTTGTATATGTGTTGGGTGGGGTAAGGTACGGTCGCCAAAAGACCCTGGGCCGGGTCGCTGTTGGATGGCCGTGGTCGTTGGATGGCCCCATCTTTGCCATGCGAACGTGCGGATCCTGCGGGCCGATCTCGCAGTGGATCTAGATCTGTTGGATGTCGTGCCACATTGCATAATCGATGGCTTTCCGATGCTACCCTGGTACTGACAGAAGCGTGCTTGACGTCTGGACCAGACTTCGGAACCGAGGATGCAGATGTGCTCGGTGGATCGCAGCAGCATCAGCGACACTTCTGAGCGCTGTGAACAGTCAGTTTCGCTATATCAAACGCGGTGTCGTAGTCATGACGTGGCGACGAAAGCTCGGTACAGCATTCTCCCAGACCAACGGCGTGAGGCTCCTGCTAGTCACTAGTGAGGCTCTCGTGATGACTAGCAAAGCTGCTAGAGGACTGGGCGGTGTGCTTGTCTGATAAGAAAGCTAGATCAAACGCTAGAAGTGGATGCCGTTGATGGTATTCAAGTCGACGTGTCGTGCATTGCGGATCTACAGAAAGCATGCACGGTACCTGAGGAAGTGCAGCCTCGCTTACCCAATCCGGCGCAGAAGGAACTCGCATCTTGCAGATGTGACACCTGCAAGGAGCCGCATCGTCCATCAAGTCCAACCCCGCTATGGGCCGTGAACCATTTTCCCGAATCTCTTTTGCCGCCTCGAGCGCCGACGGTCGCTCTGCCGCCATGGCTGTTGTGTTGGGTGCTTGCTTCTGCCTAGAGCGGGGTCTCGCCGCTTGATGACGGCTCTAGAGAAATTTGGGGGTGTGCGGCCTCACCGGCGACTCTCTTGGAAAATGCAGCGCTATATATACATCGTTGCCGCTTCTTCAGCAGCGGCGGCACCGGAGTGTCGCCGTACGCTGTACGCCGCATCAAGCAGATAGCTGGAGACGGCGGTGAGTGGACTGCATGGTGATTGCAGTAGACCTAGCAGCGGGCACTAGCCACACCGACTAGGCTAACAAGGGCGCGCAGCTTCTTCAGTTCGGAATGCGCAAAGCGCGACAACCAAACATCGCGCGTCCATCAACAGACCGCCAAAATCATCAAGCGCGCGTGACAGTCGTCTGCGCTGAAGTTTGCGCCGCGCAATCGTATAACTCTGGAGGCTGTCGCAAAGTACGCGTCGCGGGCTGTTCGAAACCCAGGCCTTAAGCGAAGACGACCCTGCCTATCACGACAGCATACTCATACTCGAACCCTCCTGGCTGAGCTCGCCGGGTATTCTTAAGCGGAGAAGAGCGTTGTGGCGGTGCGGCTGAAGACCATATCACCAAATCAAAAGCTTGGGGCTGCAGCCTCTGCCTCCTCGCAGCGGCCGGATTCGCACACCACCAAGCGCCTTCCTCTCGGCGACCTGCCCTTGCCAGTTCGAGACCTGGTGTGCGACCTACTCCCAGGCCTCCAACAACCGTGTGAGACGATAAAGTCGCCTCCCACGACCTTGCACAGACCGTGTATCTGTGCGCAGCCATAAGTGTCTAAGACAGACGCTACGAGAACAGGAACATCAACGAAGAAACGAGCTCACGATCACGACTACGACAATGGATCAGCCAGAACCCGCGACACCGCTTTACCCGGCCATGGCCCTCCTCAACTACATGCATGCGCCCACCGTCGGCTTCTACTACATGGGAGCTTGCGCATTCAGCTTGTGCATATTGCAAAAACCACGATTAGTATCAGCAAAGAGGCGGTGGAGCATACTGATCGCCATGCTCACAATACTGGTCGCATACATCACAGAGGTACTCTACTACTTCAGCCGGTCAATGGGCGATTGGGACTACGAGGCACCACAACCTGCAGCAATCCGCTGCTTAGGATCTATACTGGTCTGGAGCCCGCTCGCATACATACTCTGGTCGAGTAAGGCGTTACGGTGGCACGCCTACTTTGGCGCGTTTGTCCTGCAATTCGCTTTCGAGACTACGACATGCCTGATAACGGCATTTTCCATCCCGGAGAAGGGTCGGGAGAAGAATGCGCCTTTCGTGATTGACTGCGTCAGGGCGTTGGCTTCGCTCATATTGCTTCTTGACGCCTTCATCATTCTGGTCACCAAGCAGGCGGTGGTCAGCACGGACGAGGAACGCCAGTCTCTGCTAGGAAAGCAAGCGAATGGTTCATCAACACCCAACGGCGCCGCTGGATATGGCACCATACCTACTGGAACGTCGAGCGACGATGAGGAAGCACCGCCGAAAGATGACGACAAGGATATCAAAGAGCAACAGGCAAAGCGTCTCGAAGAGGAGGGTGGCTGGTTCGGATATCTCAAGGGTTTCGCCGTGTTCTTGCCTTACCTATTCCCGAGAGACGACTGGAAAGTCATGACATGCCTGGGTCTACGACTCATTCATATGCTGACAGAGCGTGTTCTGAACTTGCTTACTCCTCGCCAAATCGGTATCATCACCAACAAACTACAGCACTCTTATGAGACCCAGAGTGGCGTCATGCCGTGGAGGGATATTGGCCTCTGGATCTTGTTCTCATACATCAACAGCTATGCTGGGCTCGGCATAATCGATGGCATCGCGAACTTAGTCATCTCGAACTCCGCGTATCGGCGCATCACCTTGCTCGCATATGAGCATGTCCTCGGTCTATCCATGGACTTCCACACCTCGAAAGACTCCGGGGAGGTTCTGAAAGCTGTTGAACAAGCGTCATCTCTAAACTCGCTCATCGAGATGGTTCTCTTCGACATTGCGCCCATTCTGTTGGACCTCTTCGTAGCCATGTACTACGTAACGCACTTGTTCGACGCTTACATGGCCTTCATCATCCTCTTCATGGGCGCAGCATACATCGTAATCGGATTCTACTTCACGACGCTCTCTCAGCCGAAGCGAAGAGACTATGTCGAAAAGCAGCGTACTGAAAGCTCTACGGTCAATGAGACTGTCCACAACTGGCAGACGGTCGCTTACTTCAACCGGTTGGTGTTTGAACACAAGCGCTATGCCGAGAACATCATGAACACCATCTCCGCTCAATACGCATACTACTTCCGATCTATGGGTGGCCATGCGGCACAGGACGTTCTGACAACTCTCGGGTTCGCCGGTGCTTGCGTCTTTGGTATGTCGCAGATTGTCACTGGCCGCAAGCCAGTCGGCAATCTTGTCACTCTGATCATGTACTGGCACACAATGACATCTCCCCTATACGTTCTCTCATACAGCTATCGCCACATCTCCAGCTCGCTTATTGATGCTGAGCGCCTTCTGCAGCTACTTAATACTAAACCTACAGTTGCCGACCAAGACGGTGCAAGAGACATTGTGGTTTCCGCGGGTGAAGTCGAGTTCAAGGACGTCGACTTCCACTACGACGAGCGTAAACCCA